AATGCTCCTCTTGGAATAGCTCGCTTTACTTACTTACTCGACCGTTCTCAAGCCAAGTAATGGTGAAGGTTCTCCCGAGCTTTCTGGAACAGTTTCTGCAATTTTCTGGGGAAAGATGATGATTGTGTTAATCCTAAATGGAGTGTGGGCTTTCACTTGGTCTTGTTGTGTTGAACGTGCTCCTATATGAATAGCACAAAAAAGTAAAGATGTCTCGTAAATATGCAAGTCTCATTGTAATGTAAACAGTAACATGAAAAAATATTAATATAGTAATTTTAAAGTATTTATACATATGGTAGCATTTTTCTGCCTTAAAAGAAGTGATTTATTTTTTATGTAAAAAAAAAAAAAGGAAAAAATATTGAAGTAATAATAATCTTTAAAAAATATTAAGACAATATCAGATGCATTATAGTAATGAGAATTTATCAGTGAAATATGCTTAATTGTCCTGAAAATAATCTCACAATGAATAATAATTACATAATATATGTACAAAAATACAGTAAAAGCTCCTAATAGCTTTCTGTATGCAATGCAGTTTTTTTATGTGTGAGAATTATATAAAAAAAAAAGTGAAAGTGAAAGTGAAGTGACATGTGGCCAAGTATGGTTACCCATACTAGGAATTAGTGCTCTGCATTTAACCCATCCTAAGTGCACATACACAGCAGTGAACACACACACACCGTGAAATATAACAGAACACACTCAGGTTGTGAGCGTATAGTTCATGGTGGCAGCACCTAGCACATTCATTTTTTGACAGTCATCTGAAGTCTTTGCAGAACTCTAGCATGACTCTGTTCCATCTATAAATTTCATTCAGAGAATGTGAACATTTACACACAGTCATATATAAAGATGTAGGGCCCAGAAGAGTGTGAAATTCGATGTTAAACCTAGATGATCGTCTTGACTGGTGTGCTGGGGAAAGTTATGTTTATACTGTACACTCGTTCCAATGTGTAAAATCCATTCTCATTCTCCTATGGTTCTGATATTCTGTCTTGTACACGGGAGGCTGGTTTTAGGACATTTAGATGCATGCACACACACCTGTCTTTAGTTTTTTGTCTGGTATGTTTCAGCATGTTTTTAGAAAGTTTGACAGCATGGAATCAGCAGGCACCGTCTCAAGAGGTAATATTTCACTCAACTTTTCTTACAGAAAAAGCTGGTCATGATGGGTACAAACATGTCCGTAGCATTAGAGTATCTTGTAATGGAATACAGGAACAAGAGCAGAACTGTGGGCAGCAAACAGCCATTAGGAGCGTGTCCACACTCCCAGGAGTGGCATTAAGGCATTATGGTGAAGAGTTACTTCATTCCAGGAGAGTCTCTCCTGCTAGAGTCCTTATTCATCCTCTAAATCTTTAAACAGTGATGCTCTTAGACTTCCTTCCACAACTGTGGAGCCAGACTGCAGTGATACAAGAAAAACTCAATTCTGTTCTTGCATAAGCGCTGAGGTTTTGTGTCCTTCAAGAATAAAGGGCTGTTCGCTCATACAGTGCTCTGCAGTGTGAAAGCGATCGGAAAGTTATTCATTTGCGAAGAGTTGGCCAGTATTAGTCACTTGAGCGACAGTGAACTTTGGTGATGTGAGTGTGTTGAGTGTCTGCCAAAGTTGAGAGTATTTTAACTTTATGCAAATGAGTCGCGACTACCAGTTGGCTTGAAAACTGTCAGATACTGTATTCAGATGTAGGCAAAATGAAGATCAATTAATCAATTTATCTCTTTTTGAATGCCAACAATTTCTGACACAAATGTTTCCATATATATATATATATATGTGTGTGTGTGTGTGTGTGTGTGTGTGTATATGTGTGTGTGTATATATATATATATATATATATATATATATATGGAAACATTTGTGTCAGAAATTGTTTGCATTCAAAAAGTGTTAAATTATATATAAAAATAGTTAAATTCATTCATTGATCTTGTCCATGGTGTGATGTACTTTGCTCTGCTCCAATATTTTCTCCAGAATATTACAGAAAACTGATTTCTTGTCAAATTAGAATGAGATCTTATTTTTACCATCAATACATCCCAGTTGTGATCAGAGGGTTGAGAGATTGTATCTGGAGCAGGACGTGTGGAGTACTGGTGACAGCGTGCATGGTAGTGTGTCTGCTTGACACACAAACGGGTCGCTCATCAGGATTTTGAGGGCACGACAAGATGGGTTTGTTAAATTAGTTCATGCTAATCGGGTTGGGGAATTAGTTAATTCTCCCAGGATGCCTCAGTCCTTCATTTGACTGCTCCTCGTTCGTCATGGGAGGACTGACCTGACTGCAGCTATTTGAGAGATGTCCTTAAAACTGTTTTTTTTAGGTGTCTTAATTCAAATGGTTAAGTAGCTGTGTTTGTGTCTGTGTCTGTTTTCTTCATGTGTTATTGTTTTTATGGGTACTGAAAGTGGTTTGTCTGTGCATCTAGACTGAAAAAATATTTTTCATAATTAGTATATTTGTCGAATTTTCAAATACACACATCTTTAAAATAAGATAAATTTACCAATAAGATAAATTTATAAAGTCGTCGACATGAAATGAAAATTCACCTGTTTCGTTCATCTCTTTTGTAAATGCATATCATAGATCTTATTGTGAACAAATCACCTATGTATTTTTTTTTTTTTTTGACTTCGTAATGTTTCATCAAAATATCATATTTAATTCATTTGAGCACAACAGCCACAGCTCAAAATCCAATCAACAATTGATGAAACCAAGTCCCCTCCCTAATTTTTTTTCTTTTCCCATTATTGATTTTACTCAGATGTACGTCACAATACAGAGGAAAAAAAATCTGTCTATACATCTGTTTCATTGAAACTTTAACAAATAAAATAGGAATGAAGATAGTCTTCTTTTAAGAGAATAGATCTTTTTATATATTTCTAACCCTGTTAGCAAGTTTTTTTCTTATTTTAAGCATAAATCTAACAAAATGTAGTGATATTTACTCAAAAAAGGTGGAGTAAGTTAAACTTGCTTCTCATGTAAATGCATTTAGAAAATACCGATCATGAAAATTATTTTTGTAGTGTAAATGTCTGACATGTCATTATGAAATGTGTGGGACATCTGGGCAACTTGCAGAAAAGCCACAGAAAAAAATGATAACAGGGTAGGTGGACTGTCAGTGCAGAGGAGCCAGAAAAGAAGGTGGACAGATATTCCTCTGCAAAAGGAATGGTTTACCCCAGTAAAGGGAGGAGGGGCAAGTGTGGACTGACAGAGAGGAGGGGGAGAAATGAGGAGCGGGGAGTGGGGAGAATAATGTGAGCACTGCAGAGGGGAATGGCAGCAGCAGCAGTGTTTCTCTCTCTCTCACACACACACACACACACACACTTCCAAATAAATGGCTGTAATGTCGGGCTACGTAAAAAAAAATAGTATAGTATGGATGCTGGCACTGAGGTGGACTGAGATAAACAGATTATATTGATTGCAGGTGATAGGAGAAGAGGATGTGGGCTTTAACAAGAGACGTGTACTAGCCAATCAATGCACATCTATCTGCAGGAGAGCCAACATGACATCTCTGTTTTCAGAATGGTGGCCACGCACAGCGCACACTGCTATAATTCACCAGCCCTTCCTTCCTCTTTTCTCCCCCTTCCATTTCCTTATGCTTCTAAATAAACATTTCTTTTTTCTCTCCCTTTATCCCCTTCCATTACAGGTCTTTGTATACGTACCATCTCTTCTCATTTTTTTCTGCCTCCATCATCCATTCTCCTTGTCTGACTCACAAAGTCTGCTTTTCCCCATCTTCTTCCCCTGTGGTGTTTCCTCAGTGCAGCATGTCAATGAGACTGCTGCATTCACACTGTTCCCACTATTCTTAGAGCACTTTTGCAGTTTTGTTGTAGTATTTGGCGCCCTCTATCTGTAGTACACCTCCTTCTGATTGCGAAGGACATCTGCAGTGGTCCAAACTGCATCACAGCAGCCTCTGGATGTTAAAGTGCTTATTCTGTCATGTAGACTATTTTATTTTCAAGGGTCTTTCCATGCGCTTGTGTACCTGATGCCAACAGCTTATGGCTTTAAGCACAGAACGGGAAGGCTGGCATGCCATTTGATTTAGAAAATCTATATATAGAAAAGGGTTTTCAATCTTTTTCAGGCCAAAGACCTTTTGTTGTATTGTGAGACCAAGCATGGACTCTCTGTTACATATTGTTGAAATTGAGCATCGCCGTTTAAGCCTGGTCTATAATAACACGTGTTATATTATATTGATACATTCACATACTTAAATTGTAAAGCCATTAAAATAACTATTATTGTTACACTTAAATTTTACATAGTATATTTTAATGTGACAGGAAGAATGAAATGTTTACTTGAATTTCAGCTTCTCAAGGTTAGCTTTAGCTTGGATCATGTTCATTTGGTGTACAAAAAGTAAGGTCCCAATGAATGTATGTACTTATGCGCTCTTCTGTGCCATTTGATAATAGTGTGAGTAGTGTGTTCACACTGAAAATTCGGCAAGAAAACGTGCACTTCAAACACCTAACTGAAAAAAAAACAGTGTGGAATGGTTTCATGCGCTTTACTGTCGCAGCTTTCCTTAGCGGAAGGGGAATGGTTAGCAGACACTGGACGAGAAAATAACCTTCAAAAAATACATAGTGTATATTGTGTCATTTGGGACACAACTTTGGTTTACTATCAAACAATATTTATCAGAGCCCCTGTTGAAGACTCCTTATCTACAGTAGAACAGCAGTTTGCAGAGGAGAAAAAAGTCATGATGTTGATGATGTTTTAGATCAGACTGTCGTTATTTTTGCAGTTCTGCCACAGAAATGACACACTTCAGCTTTAAGCACTGTACCAGTTCTTTATTCCAATAGTGATCTCACTGATTTCACTGTATAATATTAATGTGCTCATCTTCTCATCTCTCTTTGTGTCTTTCTGTCTCTCTCTGTGTCTTCCTCTCTCTGTTTCCAGTATGTGGCGTTCGGCTCGCTCCTGTTCATCCTCATCTCCATCTCAACATTTTGCTTGGAGACACACGAGGCCTTCAACACCATCTACAATAAGACAGAGAACGTGACGGTGGGGAACGTCACGCGGGAGGAGGTTGTGTTTGAGGTAGTGACTGACAACTGGCTGACCTACGTGGAGGGCGTATGCGTCATCTGGTTCACCATCGAGGTGTTCGCCCGTGTCATCTTCTGCCCGGACAAGGCCGAGTTCTTCAAGAGCTCGCTGAACATCATCGACTTTGTAGCCATCCTGCCCTTTTACCTGGAGGTGGCGCTGAGCGGCCTCTCCGCTAAAGCGGCAAAAGACGTGCTGGGCTTTTTGCGCGTGGTGCGATTCGTCCGAATCCTGCGAATCTTCAAGCTCACGCGCCATTTCGTGGGGCTGAGAGTGCTGGGTCACACGCTCCGTGCCAGCACCAATGAATTCTTGCTCCTCATCATCTTCCTCGCTCTGGGGGTGCTCATCTTTGCCACCATGATCTACTACGCCGAGCGTATTGGCGCCGACCCGGCCGACCCCACGGCAAGCGCCCACACCACCTTCAAAAACATCCCCATCGGTTTCTGGTGGGCAGTGGTCACCATGACCACACTGGGCTATGGAGACATGTATCCAGAGACATGGTCTGGTATGTTAGTGGGTGCCCTGTGCGCCCTGGCGGGCGTGCTGACCATCGCCATGCCTGTGCCCGTCATTGTAAACAACTTCGGCATGTACTACTCTCTGGCCATGGCCAAGCAGAAGCTGCCCAAGAAGAAGAACAAGCACATCCCACGGGCGCCGCAGCCTGGATCGCCCAACTACTGCAAGCCAGACGCCCTGGCCATGGCCACTGCCTCGCCGCACAGGATCATGGGTAATGTGCTGGGCAGTATGGTGGTCTCTGGAAGCATGGCAGGAGACTGTCCTCTTGCACAGGAGGAAATCATAGAGATTAACAGAGCAGGTGTGTGTGTGTGTGTGTGTGAGTGTACCCATGTGTTTACGTGTTTGTGTGCATGACGTTTCTTTGCACTAATAGGTTAAATTCCCAACAATAAAGGTGCGATCACATTTACAGTTGCTCTGTGAAATTTAGCGGGTGAAATTGTGACCTCATGATTGGGAGTTTTGCATGAGGGCGAAAAAGTTGAATTTATCACACAGATTGAAAGTGACTACTGTGTGAGCTGTACTTTCTACATTGCCTCACTATTCACAAGCGATAATTTTGCCTGAAAAATGTTGCTTAAATTTCACTAATGTGACCGCACCTTAAAGGATTAGGTGTATGATTATATTATGAACAAAAAATGCTATTGACGCACAACACTTCAAGTGTGTGTATTTTTGTGTGTGTTGTCAACTAGCTCCATCTCACCCATCAAGAAAGTTCAAATGCCTGTGGTCATCACTTACAGCTCTTTATAATGAGCTGTCATCACCTAAATTGGATCTTTTATATAATCTTGTGTAATGTCTACACACATACACACACAAGTATTTGAGCGTAGTAATATGCAAAACTATGCTGTCACGGCCGAGTTAGACAGAGAACAGGAATGTTATTAAAATCATAGCAGGATTACGCTTCATGCGTTCCAATTAGTTTCTTAGACTACCAGAAAACATCCCACCCAATCAGAAGAGAAGGGAAAATGACCCTGAAACTAGCAAACAGCTTTTGGTAGATGATTGACATAGCGCTTACAGTACTATTTGTGTGTGCAGTTTATTTGCACACTCACTGCAGCAACACATTTTCCTAATCAGTATATTTTTATATATCCAGTAAAAATATTTTGCTTCTCAAGTAAAGTTTTTCTTGATGTAAGGATGTTTAACAGTACAACAAGATCTAAGAACTTTAAGATCATCTTTTTTCACTGTTTTTGCATGTGAAGGTGTCAGTCAGGTTGAGCCAGTGAGTTCATGCAGCCGAGAGAGCTCCGTCTGTCATTACTGAGCAGAACACAGATATACACACCCCATACTAAGATTAAGATGAGCCAGATTAGTCACGGCCTCTCAGATTAGCATATGCTATATTTGATCTATAATATAAGCAAAAGGTTTCAAATCACCAGCACTCTGCTTACTGCCACATATCTGCCGATATTTAGATGATTTCAACACCAAAGATACAGATTATGACAGATGAGAGTGCATCCTTATAAATAGGATGACTTTAGATCGTTTATCTTAGAAAGTAACATTTTTGGAACAAGCAGCCTCTTAAGTGGGTGACAGCTATAGTTCTCGGCTCCTCCTCTTTGTTTTGCTCTTCCATGGAGTTCTCACAGCTGGAAGTTCCCAAGGAAATGAAAGGGAGCATGAGCATCCTGAGACGCTTGCTGTGAGGAAACGCTTTAGCACATGTGACCTCCTGTAGCTTCAAACCATTCCCACATGCCCTTGACACCTACAGTACTGGCATCATATCCATCATGTGTACTGTTAATGAAGTTTTATTAAGTAGTGTAAAACTAAAAGTATGAAACATATAACAAAGTCATCTGTTTGTCACCCGTCCCCATGTGTGAGTGTGGTGGGGGTTTTTTGGCTTGCGTGAGAGGTGCTCTGATTCTGTAACTGATTTTATGCTGAAGGTTTACCCAAAATTACAAACCCATATGGTTACATTTTGTCAGTGGAAAACACAAGGAGATGTTTTGTCTGAGCTGCTCCATTTCATACAGTCAAATTGAATGGGGTCAATACAATAGCTTTATGTGAGGCACAGGCAGAAATGTACTCATTATTTACTCAAAATCCAGCCATGGTTTCCATTTACTTCTGTTGTATGAAAAGAGCAGCTTGAACATTGCTCTAGATTTCTCCTTTAGTTTTCCACGGATAAAATAAATCCATGTGGATTTTTAAAGAAACTAGGGTGAATAAATGTTTTTTATTTTATTGTATTATAAGTATTTTTATAATCTCTTCAATGGTTGTCATTTAATGGCTGTCAGGAAAGTGAGTTATATCTGGTGTAGTGAACCTTATGTCATGACCTTTGCTATAGACTTTTATGTCATCCATTCATCACCCTTTGTCACCATTCAACTGTGAACGTTTTCATCTTAACAGATTTCACGGTCATATGCATTCCCTTTCAGTCGGTCACTCTCGACGTCACGTCGGATGACCGACGAATTGGGATCTCGCTTAGAGAGACCAATCTACTTCGAGTGTAAACTAAACGAGCCAATGCACATTGGCATGCGATTATTGCATCCAGCTGCCGCTGATCACAGCGTGAGTATAAGTAGGCAGCAGATGCAGCGCATATTCAGGTTTTCGCTGAGGAGCTGAGCCGGTGACCCGGCCGCTCAGCGGTGGTACAGGAGCTGTGGCGACGGGACGTGACGTCTCCGTTCCCTCCTTCAGGGAACGAGGGTTACCATACGTAACCGAGACGTTCCCTTTCAGTCGGTCACTCTCGACGTCACGTCGGATGACTGACGAATTGGGATCTCGCTTAGAGAGACCAATCTACTTCGAGTGTAAACTAAACGAGCCAATGCACATTGGCATGCGATTATTGCATCCAGCTGCCGCTGATCACAGCGTGAGTATAAGTAGGCAGCAGATGCAGCGCATATTCAGGTTTTCGCTGAGGAGCTGAGCCGGTGACCCGGCCGCTCAGCGGTGGTACAGGAGCTGTGGCGACGGGACGTGACGTCTCCGTTCCCTCCTTCAGGGAACGAGGGTTACCATACGTAACCGAGACGTTCCCTTTCAGTCGGTCACTCTCGACGTCACGTCGGATGACTGACGAATTGGGATCTCGCTTAGAGAGACCAATCTACTTCGAGTGTAAACTAAACGAGCCAATGCACATTGGCATGCGATTATTGCATCCAGCTGCCGCTGATCACAGCGTGAGTATAAGTAGGCAGCAGATGCAGCGCATATTCAGGTTTTCGCTGAGGAGCTGAGCCGGTGACCCGGCCGCTCAGCGGTGGTACAGGAGCTGTGGCGACGGGACGTGACGTCTCCGTTCCCTCCTTCAGGGAACGAGGGTTACCATACGTAACCGAGACGTTCCCTTTCAGTCGGTCACTCTCGACGTCACGTCGGATGACTGACGAATTGGGATCTCGCTTAGAGAGACCAATCTACTTCGAGTGTAAACTAAACGAGCCAATGCACATTGGCATGCGATTATTGCATCCAGCTGCCGCTGATCACAGCGTGAGTATAAGTAGGCAGCAGATGCAGCGCATATTCAGGTTTTCGCTGAGGAGCTGAGCCGGTGACCCGGCCGCTCAGCGGTGGTACAGGAGCTGTGGCGACGGGACGTGACGTCTCCGTTCCCTCCTTCAGGGAACGAGGGTTACCATACGTAACCGAGACGTTCCCTTTCAGTCGGTCACTCTCGACGTCACGTCGGATGACTGACGAATTGGGATCTCGCTTAGAGAGACCAATCTACTTCGAGTGTAAACTAAACGAGCCAATGCACATTGGCATGCGATTATTGCATCCAGCTGCCGCTGATCACAGCGTGAGTATAAGTAGGCAGCAGATGCAGCGCATATTCAGGTTTTCGCTGAGGAGCTGAGCCGGTGACCCGGCCGCTCAGCGGTGGTACAGGAGCTGTGGCGACGGGACGTGACGTCTCCGTTCCCTCCTTCAGGGAACGAGGGTTACCATACGTAACCGAGACGTTCCCTTTCAGTCGGTCACTCTCGACGTCACGTCGGATGACTGACGAATTGGGATCTCGCTTAGAGAGACCAATCTACTTCGAGTGTAAACTAAACGAGCCAATGCACATTGGCATGCGATTATTGCATCCAGCTGCCGCTGATCACAGCGTGAGTATAAGTAGGCAGCAGATGCAGCGCATATTCAGGTTTTCGCTGAGGAGCTGAGCCGGTGACCCGGCCGCTCAGCGGTGGTACAGGAGCTGTGGCGACGGGACGTGACGTCTCCGTTCCCTCCTTCAGGGAACGAGGGTTACCATACGTAACCGAGACGTTCCCTTTCAGTCGGTCACTCTCGACGTCACGTCGGATGACTGACGAATTGGGATCTCGCTTAGAGAGACCAATCTACTTCGAGTGTAAACTAAACGAGCCAATGCACATTGGCATGCGATTATTGCATCCAGCTGCCGCTGATCACAGCGTGAGTATAAGTAGGCAGCAGATGCAGCGCATATTCAGGTTTTCGCTGAGGAGCTGAGCCGGTGACCCGGCCGCTCAGCGGTGGTACAGGAGCTGTGGCGACGGGACGTGACGTCTCCGTTCCCTCCTTCAGGGAACGAGGGTTACCATACGTAACCGAGACGTTCCCTTTCAGTCGGTCACTCTCGACGTCACGTCGGATGACTGACGAATTGGGATCTCGCTTAGAGAGACCAATCTACTTCGAGTGTAAACTAAACGAGCCAATGCACATTGGCATGCGATTATTGCATCCAGCTGCCGCTGATCACAGCGTGAGTATAAGTAGGCAGCAGATGCAGCGCATATTCAGGTTTTCGCTGAGGAGCTGAGCCGGTGACCCGGCCGCTCAGCGGTGGTACAGGAGCTGTGGCGACGGGACGTGACGTCTCCGTTCCCTCCTTCAGGGAACGAGGGTTACCATACGTAACCGAGACGTTCCCTTTCAGTCGGTCACTCTCGACGTCACGTCGGATGACTGACGAATTGGGATCTCGCTTAGAGAGACCAATCTACTTCGAGTGTAAACTAAACGAGCCAATGCACATTGGCATGCGATTATTGCATCCAGCTGCCGCTGATCACAGCGTGAGTATAAGTAGGCAGCAGATGCAGCGCATATTCAGGTTTTCGCTGAGGAGCTGAGCCGGTGACCCGGCCGCTCAGCGGTGGTACAGGAGCTGTGGCGACGGGACGTGACGTCTCCGTTCCCTCCTTCAGGGAACGAGGGTTACCATACGTAACCGAGACGTTCCCTTTCAGTCGGTCACTCTCGACGTCACGTCGGATGACTGACGAATTGGGATCTCGCTTAGAGAGACCAATCTACTTCGAGTGTAAACTAAACGAGCCAATGCACATTGGCATGCGATTATTGCATCCAGCTGCCGCTGATCACAGCGTGAGTATAAGTAGGCAGCAGATGCAGCGCATATTCAGGTTTTCGCTGAGGAGCTGAGCCGGTGACCCGGCCGCTCAGCGGTGGTACAGGAGCTGTGGCGACGGGACGTGACGTCTCCGTTCCCTCCTTCAGGGAACGAGGGTTACCATACGTAACCGAGACGTTCCCTTTCAGTCGGTCACTCTCGACGTCACGTCGGATGACTGACGAATTGGGATCTCGCTTAGAGAGACCAATCTACTTCGAGTGTAAACTAAACGAGCCAATGCACATTGGCATGCGATTATTGCATCCAGCTGCCGCTGATCACAGCGTGAGTATAAGTAGGCAGCAGATGCAGCGCATATTCAGGTTTTCGCTGAGGAGCTGAGCCGGTGACCCGGCCGCTCAGCGGTGGTACAGGAGCTGTGGCGACGGGACGTGACGTCTCCGTTCCCTCCTTCAGGGAACGAGGGTTACCATACGTAACCGAGACGTTCCCTTTCAGTCGGTCACTCTCGACGTCACGTCGGATGACTGACGAATTGGGATCTCGCTTAGAGAGACCAATCTACTTCGAGTGTAAACTAAACGAGCCAATGCACATTGGCATGCGATTATTGCATCCAGCTGCCGCTGATCACAGCGTGAGTATAAGTAGGCAGCAGATGCAGCGCATATTCAGGTTTTCGCTGAGGAGCTGAGCCGGTGACCCGGCCGCTCAGCGGTGGTACAGGAGCTGTGGCGACGGGACGTGACGTCTCCGTTCCCTCCTTCAGGGAACGAGGGTTACCATACGTAACCGAGACGTTTTCACTGATAAATGTTTTTAATTTCTTCCAATGAGGTCCAACTGCATAACGGGTCTCTGTCATATTCTCCCTCGCCTCCCCATCCTCCTTTTTCTTTCCATCTCTCTCCATGTCTTTAGCAGGCTTTGCCCCTGGCTTATTTCTGTAAATTGTTGAGCGGTAGCTCACGTCAGATTAGATTTGACAGCTGTGTCGGAAGCTATAAGAACAAGTGCCCCTGCAGCTTCTTTGTTTGAGTGTGTGTGCACATCTCACTCTTTCAGACACTCATTCATGTTGTGTATGTTGTGTGTGTTTGTGTATGCGATGTTCTGAGTTCCACTGCACCATTTTAATCAAGTGATGCTGCTCTTTTTGTAGCGCATCTATTTTTGCTCCTTTTTATTCATCCCATTTCATCCCTGACTTTTTTGTCTCTAATATCACATGCACACAGTACCACAAATAGTAACTTACTTTCTTTCTTTCTTTCTTTCAGACTCCAAACAGAATGGAGATGCTGCAAACGCAGCTCTGGCTAATGAGGACTGTCCCACCATAGATCAGGTGCACGGGCCAGATGACAGGAGTCCGGCCACCGGTGGGCTGGGGACATGCGCGGGGCGTGAACGTTACCCCCACGATAGGGCCTGCTTCCTTCTCAGTACCGGAGAGTTCCGCACCACAGACAGCAATGTCAGGAAAGGTATGCGGCACCCACAAACAAACACGTTATTATACTCATACTTTCAGTGTACATCACACAGAGCAAGCTCAGGAAAGGTAAGTTGTATGTTCAAATGCTTATTATTGCATATTAGGGCAAAGACCACATACATCGTAGCAATATATATATATATTTTATACACAAATATACATGCACTTCACAAAGTACATCAGAGGTATACGCATTAAAACAGACTCTCCCGCATCCATACTAACAGCATAGCTCCCCGCCTTCCCCTTATGCATTTCTCCTCATAATTCACCACATCAATCATTCTGAAGGCCGCTCATCATTAGCAAAGCTCTTACCACACACGCAATAGTAATTCAATTCATATCTTTGTTAAATGTGTTTAATCTTTGATAAAATCAGGACTTTTGAGAGAAAATAATCCTAGCGCAAGTTAAATTATTAACAGATATATCAAACAAATTCACTGCGTCTGGCCAACAAGCTCTTCAAATGCTGTCTTTCTGTCTATCCATCTACCTGTCTGTCTGTCGATATATCTGTCTATCAGTCTGGGTTGTGCAAAATTCTGAATAAAAAGAATTGGCTTTCTTTCAATTTAAGAGTTTGAATTTTATTGGCCACATCTCAGAGGAAGTTAAACTGGAATTCAAATTGGAATGACAGGAAGAGGAGTTTAATACAGATAATGCATTCTGTTTTTCCATCTTGCTTAATTTATTACATATTTTTTATGAAATTCCAAGGCTTCTAAAATATTTTAATTAGTTAACTCTTCTTCCTTACATTTAAATGCAAATTGCAATTCTGATTCCTGTTTTCTACCTAAATTCAGATTCAGGAAATAAATGAAAATTCCTGACTCAATTATGAATAACACAAAACCAGCTACCTGTCTGTCTCTCTGTCTAGTTGTATCTCTCTCTCTCTCTCTCTCTCTCTCGTTCTCTTTCTCTTTATTTGTCTATCTGTCTGTCTGTTTGATCTACCTGTCTGTCTATCTATATATCTACTGTATCTGTCTATCTATCAGGCTTGCCTTTGCTCTTTCTTGCTCTCATTCATTGATTTTTACTTCATTCTCTTTCTCTTCCTGGCCTCCCATCCTGGCTTGTCTCTGCCCATGTCTCTTTCCCTCCATCCATCCCCTCATCTTGCCCCTTTTCTCCTTATCTTCTGCACTTTGCATCACATCCTCTTGAATCTGCTCTTTTTTTTGCAACGGCATGATTGACATCTTCTGCCTTTCTTTCTATACTATACCTTCCTACTCCTGCACCTTTCCACCAACCTCCACATACTCCAAATACACCCCTCTACACAACCAAATCCTACAACCCCCCACCCACAAAAACACTAGAAGCTGCAGGCGCCAACCCAGTCTCCCCCCCAGCAGAGGAGTGGTTCAAGCCGGAAGGGCCACTGCTACAGCAGGACCTCAATGCCAATTCTGCCTCTTCGTGGATCAAACCATAATGAATCAGAGGTAACACTCAAAAAAGCAACCAGTGATGCAGTGTAGAAATTAGTTGAATGAATAGAGCTTAATATTTAATTATATCCATACAGTACAGTGCTATTTCAAAGGGAAATATTTTTTTAATGCACATATTTCAACAGGATAAAAATAATTTTTACAAAGAATATATTTAGCACGTTCATACATTAGAGCAACCATGGATATGAAACGCAAACATAACTAAGCCACACTCGGGACTAAAGTACACAATACTAAACTGAGCTTTTATAGAGGTTAATGTCTCTAAGAAATACATGACTTATCAGTAAGAGGAACAATATGCCTTTGAGTCAGAGGGGATGATGTGTTCTATATGTTCTGTCTCTGTGTTTGACAATTTACACACTGATATAACTTAAGTATTTAATATCTGCATAGACTAAATTCACACAGTAAGATCAGTCATGACAGTGTCACTTTTGTATTAATGGGCATTTTTTTGTTTGTTTTTTTCAATTTGTCCTGAATTAATTTATTCTAGCCTTTAATATTATTTCTAACCTAATAAAACATGCAACATCAAGTTCTATAATTCTAAATTATATCAAATCTAAAATAAATTAAGTAATGGGTAGTCCATAAGACATCTTAACCATAGAACACAATCAGTGTTGGGGAGTTACATGTAATGGAATTACATAATTTAATGACAAAGTAAGTGTAACTGTAATCAGAGTTGTTACTAACTAAACTGTTACTGAGAAAAAAATGTGTAATTAAATTACAGTTACTTATGAAAATGTTACAGATTACAAAGGGGGTTGCATCTGAATATTTTTTACACACATACAGATTTAATTAATTCCTTTCCCAAATTGCACCGACTGCTCTAAAATATGAGACACCAATGTTTCAGGAGTTTAGGACACAGAACAGGACACATGCTTATTTAATAACTCTTTTATTTCCTATTTGGGTTTATGTATATGCTTTATTTTTCAAGATTAACTTTTTTCGGCATTGTTAGATACCAGTGTTTCATAGCTGGTTTGATTTCAAAAACAGTATCATAGCGATTAAACTATATTTTGTTATGATTTTAAATCTGTATTTAACCTCAGAAATGACAGGAAGAGGAGTTTAATACAGATAATGCATTCTGTTTTTCCATCTTGCTTAATTTATTACATATTTTTTATGAAATTCCAAGGCTTATAAAATATTTTAATTAGTTAACTCTTCTTCCTTACATTTAAATGCAAATTGCAATTCTGATTCCTGTTTTCTACCTAAATTCAGATTCAGGAAATAAATGAAAATTCCTGACTCAATTATGAATAACACAAAACCAGCTACCTGTCTGTCTCTCTGTCTAGTTGTATCTCTCTCTCTCTCTCTCTCTCTCTCGTTCTCTTTCTCTTTATTTGTCTATCTGTCTGTCTGTTTGATCTACCTGTCTATCTATCTATATATCTACTGTATCTGTCTATCTATCAGGCTTGCCTTTGCTCTTTCTTGCTCTCATTCATTGATTTTTACTTCATTCTCTTTCTCTTCCTGGCCTCCCATCCTGGCTTGTCTCTGCCCATGTCTCTTTCCCTCCATCCATCCCCTCATCTTGCCCCTTTTCTCCTTATCTTCTGCACTTTGCATCACATCCTCTTGAATCTGCTCTTTTTTTTGCAACGGCATGATTGACATCTTCTGCCTTTCTTTCTATACTATACCTTCCTACTCCTGCACCTTTCCACCAACCTCCACATACTCCAAATACACCCCTCTACACAACCAAATCCTACAACCCCCCACCCACAAAAACACTAGAAGCTGCAGGCGCCAACCCAGTCTCCCCCCCAGCAGAGGAGTGGTTCAAGCCGGAAGGGCCACTGCTACAGCAGGACCTCAATGCCAATTCTGCCTCTTCGTGGATCAAACCATAATGAATCAGAGGTAACACTCAAAAAAGCAACCAGTGATGCAGTGTAGAAATTAGTTGAATGAATAGAGCTTAATATTTAATTATATCCATACAGTACAGTGCTATTTCAAAGGGAAATATTTTTTTAATGCACATATTTCAACAGGATAAAAATAATTTTTACAAAGAATATATTTAGCACGTTCATACATTAGAGCAACCATGGATATGAAACGCAAACATAACTAAGCCACACTCGGGACTAAAGTACACAATACTAAACTGAGCTTTTATAGAGGTTAATGTCTCTAAGAAATACATGACTTATCAGTAAGAGGAACAATATGCCTTTGAGTCAGAGGGGATGATGTGTTCTATATGTTCTGTCTCTGTGTTTGACAATTTACACACTGATATAACTTAAGTATTTAATATCTGCATAGACTAAATTCACACAGTAAGATCAGTCATGACAGTGTCACTTTTGTATTAATGGGCATTTTTTTGTTTGTTTTTTTCAATTTGTCCTGAATTAATTTATTCTAGCCTTTAATATTATTTCTAACCTAATAAAACATGCAACATCAAGTTCTATAATTCTAAATTATATCAAATCTAAAATAAATTAAGTAATGGGTAGTCCATAAGACATCTTAACCATAGAACACAATCAGTGTTGGGGAGTTACATGTAATGGAATTACATAATTTAATGACAAAGTAAGTGTAACTGTAATCAGAGTTGTTACTAACTAAACTGTTACTGAGAAAAAAATGTGTAATTAAATTACAGTTACTTATGAAAATGTTACAGATTACAAAGGGGGTTGCATCTGAATATTTTTTACACACATACAGATTTAATTAATTCCTTTCCCAAATTGCACCGACTGCTCTAAAATATGAAACACTAATGTTTCAGGAGTTTAGGACACAGAATAGGATGCATGCTTATTCGATAACTGTTTTATTTCCTATTTGGGTTTATGTATATGCTTTATTTTTCAAGATTAACTTTTTTCGGCATTGTTAGATACCAGTGTTTCATAGCTGGTTTGATTTCAAAAACAGTATCATAGCGATTAAACTATATTTTGTTATGATTTTAAATCTGTATTTAACCTCAGAATGACATCAAAGTAAAAAGAGTGCTAAAGTCTGATTTTGTGATGGCTGTGCTTTAAAATGTAATTATTATAATCTTAATTCGAGTGATGAAGGAAAGTCTTTTGAAAGTCTGACAGTAATCAGTGTCGAGTGCTACTGTAAGGTTAACCCTGTCTGCTTTAAATGTTTGAAAATGATTATCAGTTGAAAGCATTCATTAGAAATTTAGAAAAGTAATCAAAAAGAAATCAAATGTAATCAGTTGCATTACTTTAATAAAGTAATTGAAATATTTACACTGCATATTACATTTTAAATAGGGTAACATCTGTAACCTATTACATTTCCAAAGTAACCTTCCCAACGTTGAGTACATTATTATGAAACATAGTACATTTTAGAAAATTTAGTAATTCACCATGGGGCATTTCTGTAACTTTTGTTGGAATTTTTGTCCTGAGCCTTCATTTCTGACCCTGATTCACAGCAGACTAGAATCAGTGTCTCCTCTTTCTCTCTGGCTCAA